CTGAACAACATGCCCAAGGATTGGATGTAGGTTCTTTTGCTGATCTTCTTCATTCAGAAGGCATCAAGGACAAGAAAATGTTTGAACTTTCAGAGCAATTGGATATATCAAACACTGACAATGGAAGTAGTGTTGGTAGGATGACTCAAATGGAACATTACTATGAAGCACTTATTCATTATCTTGATAACAAGGTGCTTTTTTGGGGGAAGTATTGATACACCAGGGGGCCTCCTTGTGGGGCCCAAGAGAGTTAATATTTACTATGTAAGTGTTGGCTCAAGAAAAACGGCACGAATGCATGAATCCCGATTTATAGCTCTATATTCCATTTCCCTTAGGTCAGATTGAAGTTAATCAGATTTTCCCTGAGGGTAGTGTCAGGATTTAAAGATCTGGGATCCTTACTTCCTATGAGCGCAAGCACTCATAGTTAATTACCCCTCTTACTACGTAAGAGAGAACTCTCGATTAAGAATGATTAAATTTTAGATATTTTTAGTCTCAATAGTGGGAAGATGGAGGTAAACCCGATCAAGATCCCATGGTTCCGTCGTCCCGGGTATACTATAGATTTCAGTCTACCAACACTAATAATCATTGACTATAATGTCTAGGGAATCTGATTAGCAGCTATGGGTTGCCTCCTCTCAGGGATCCTGAATAGACTGAAATGGTTAGATGTGGATTTCAGTTTGATTTAATTTGGGTTGAGGCTTATTACTTCCTTAGAAGTTGCCCGTTAATTTGTTTAGTTTGGGGCTTACGGCTCCAATTAGGAGTTGCCTAGGAATAAATTTCGTTTGGGACTTACGACTTTCGTAGAAAGTAGCCCAGAGATTTAGATTTGATTTGAGACTTATGGCTTTCGTAGAAAGTAGCCTGAGAATTTAATTTTAGAATTGGGGCTTATTACTCTATTTATGAGTTGCCTAAAGATGGGTCTTACAACCTAACTCTATAGCGAGGCTATCCGGGGATTTAAATTTTGATTTTTTTTTAGTTAGATTTGGATTTTAGGGTCATTACAATTCATTTAACAATTCTCCTAAACGTGGGTCTTACGACTTTCGTAGAAAGTAGCCCAAATTAGTGGAACTTACAACCTTTACTGAAGGTAGCTCAAATATTTTAATTGGGTAAGTCTTATTACCTCCTTAGAAGTTGTCTAATGATGGGTCTTACGACCTAGCACTTTAAGCTAAGTGGCCCAAGTTGTGGGTCTTACAACCAAGTCCTGTAGACTAGGATGCCCAAGTTATGGGTTTAATTATTTAGAAATAGGATGTTCATTTAGAAGTTCCCTAATATACGGGTCTCACTGCTTCTCTTAGAAGTATCCCAAATGGCGGGTCTTACAACTTAGTCCTATAGACTAAGATGCCCAAATGAGGGGTCTAAGGTTGTATTATCACCTAAACATTTCCCTCAGAGGTCCGACTTACGACTTCTATTAGAAGCGGCTGGGGGTTTTCATTGGGGGTTAGGAGGTCAATTTTTTACCTAAAACTTTCATCTAAGGTCGGACTTACGACTTTCCTATGAAAGTTGCCAGGTAGTGAGTCTTACAACCTAATTCTTATAAATCAGGCTGCCCATAGGTTATTAAATTTGATTGTCTTTGTTGAGTTGACACCATGTGCAAGAGTATTTGTGGTGCAAAGAACTTGAAGATCCCCCTTTAGAAAAAGACCCTCGACCAGATTCTTATCCTTTACACAAAGCCCACCATTGAGATAGCCAACACCATAGAGAATGCATGATTGTATTTGTTTATCACCACAAGATACAAAAGTTTCCTCTTTTTTTTTTTTCCTTTTTCTCTTTTGATCTTTTTTTTTTAATATATTTGAATATCTAAGGCTTGATACAATATGAGAGATGTGTTGTGCCACTTCTCCCTTCACCGTGTCAGTCTTTTTCTTGGTCCCTTCATTTTTTTTTCTAGGCTGACGACCCCTTTTGCTTCGGGATGGCAGCAATTTCTTTCAAGAATACAAAACCATTCTGTTTTATCTCATTCTATATTCTCATTGATTCATTGTTTTCTATTAGAACAGTGGAGCAACCACATTATAAAGCATTTGTAGCTCTTATATGCTCAAGTTTCGTATACGGATAAAAGGGAGTGTTAACACCCACCCCAAATTTTGGTTTATCATTTACTTGAGAAACACTCTTTATTTCACTTTTTGTTGGCATGGAAACTTTACAGGTATCTTTTATGTTTTTAGCTTAAAGCTCACTAATAGTAACCTTGGATAATTGCAAATTGATGGCATGTCCCAAACTGAGAGCTACAACATCAGTTTCAAGAGAACTATTGTTCATTGGTATGTTTAATGGATTTCGGAACTGTCCCCTTCTTCACTAAAATTTTTAAGTTCTCCAGCTCTCTTTTCTATTGGGTTAGGTGATGATGACCCGATTCCTTTCTCCGATCGCATCACCGTCTCCGAATTGAGCTAAATAATTTATTTGCATTTATTTCAAATGGATTTTTAATTAATTATCAGTTTACTTAATTAACTAATCAATATTACAATTCATCAATTAATTTTGCAGATAAATTAAATGATCTTCAAATTAAAAAAATAGAGATATGTATTTTATTTTTATTTTTTCAAAATCCCTTTCAATAAAAAAATTATTGAGAAAATTTCGGTAGCCTCCCGACTTCCCTTCCCCACCGAGGGAGAAATCTGGACGGCATTTGCCATTATTTTCTTCCCGACCGGACCTAAGGTCGATGGCGCGATGCCTTGAATTTAAACCATCTCATTCGGACTTAAAGTCAATGATGCAAGGTCTTGAATTTGGAACCATCCCGGCCGGACCTAAGGTCGACGACACGAGGTTTTCAATTTAAAACCATCTTGGTCGGACCTAAGGTCGACGACACGAGATCTTCAATTTCATCTCGGTCGGATCTAAGATCGACGACACGAGGGCTTCACTTGAAATTCTTCCCGACCGGATTTAAAATCAACGATGCGAGGTCTCTAATTATTAAAAATTGTAGCCTGCAACTGTAGATAAGATATTGATTTCGAGATTGGAGAAGGGTTCGTGATCGACAGCGAGTTCGCAGTCGGAGGCGGTGTCGCAGACCGGCGTGTGGAGTTTGGGGTGTCGGATGAAACAAGTGAAGGCGGGATTTTTGTCTAGTGTTTGAAGCAGAAGAGGCCTTCGACTAGGCATCACTCGAACAAGGCCAAAGATCAGTCCTTCCTCCCATTAAAATTGGTCTCTCTTTTCATTCAATTTCTCCCCTTTTTATTAATTGGAATCCTGAAAATCGGTTACAGTAGCCAAGAGTTGTATCTTTTTGACGATCAATTGCTTAGAGTGGGGCCAAATTGATAGTGTGAAGGATTGCGTCTCTTGGTGAGATGGGGCCGGAGAAAGCATCGAAGAGATGCAACTCTTTTTTTTTTTTTTCATTCTTTTTTTTTTTAGTCAACAGTAAGGAGGAGAAATAATTAGGAAAGTTTATTTAGGGAAAGATGGTCGATGTAAATTTAGATTGGGAAGGAAATTATGAAAAGTTTATTTAAGAAAAGAGAGCTAATTTAAACTCAGATTTGGGAGGCATTTACAAAAGTTTCCTAATTATATTTATGCTATTTATGAAGGTTTCTTAAATTATGTTAATTATCTAGGAAGGCTTCCTAAAGCATGTTTAATTTAATTAGGAATGTTCTATTAATGATTTTGTGTTTTAGGGCTATTTAAAGGTAAGTTGAGTTTTTCTGTAGTTCTTTTCTTTGAGGGATTCCTAGTGGCATCTAGGTTTTTTGGGAGAGCCGATCTACCTCTCTAATTGTATATCACTTATATCTTGTCTTTTCCTTCATATATAATCCAAGAAAAAGTGTTAGTGAGTATTTTTCTTAATCATATACTTGTTACCAATTTCTATTTTGCTAAAATTAAATATTCAACCAAGATTTTCTTCAAGTTTTGCATCTACTTATTATCAAATTCCCACCACTCCCATAAAAGCATCAATTTCTAAGAATATGGTGTTTATACATCAAAATTAAGTATGTGATAAAGAGTTGTATGAAGCAACCATAACTTAAAAACATAATATTAATTGATTTCCTGAACCCATAAACAATATTGAACCCTAAAGCACCAAAAGCTTACACTAGGCAACTCGCTCGGAAGCAAGGTGAGTTGCCCATTTAAAAAAAAAAGGTTCTCAAGAATCACTACAATGTTGATTTAAAAAAAAAAAAAAAAATGCTCTGATTAAAGCTATTAAATAATTAGAATCTTCTTAAAATTTCCTACAGAAAAATAGAACTAAAATAGACGTACCACATGCAAACAGAGTCATTTATGGAAAAACTCACTCAAAGGTGTCAAGTTATTGGAAAAAAAAATGGTGGACGAATTCTTTTTAATCTCCCTCTTGCAGCTAAACATTTACAACTCCTTGCGTTCCTTTGCCTCATCTCTCCTAATATCTGTTCTGGAGAACAAACATCATTTCAATTATCCATTAGCAAAGTGACACGCCTAATCAAACAGGGGCAGGAGTCTCTGATAAAAGTACGTGAACATTTATGACAGGACTGGGATAGGGAAACAGATAGGGCTGCGGAGGGGAGGGGACGGGACAAGCTCAACATTTTGATTGTTTGTGAGAAGAATAGGGAGTATTATTCCTTCCCTAAAACCTCTCATATTCTTTATCCAATCTTATAGAGGAACTGAAAAGGATCTCATCAACATAGGACGTTTTACGGAAAGACAAAATCTTAAGTAGAGTTGTGGCTTTTTCAACTGCTATTTGTACAATGATAAACTAAACAAAAAAAATAAATCACCATAAATCAATCATCAGACAGAAACCATAATGTCTATCATTTCTAAGGAACTAATTTACAGTGAGTATTCAGACTTCCATGCTTTGTAAAATGAATTGAGATAAAACATTCCATCAATCCAAACAGACCAAGAAAAAATGTGATGATTCAACAAATAAGTACCTTCAAGAAGTGAAGTCAAAGAAACAACAAGAGGCAATGTTTCAGCTTTTTGTTCATCCCCTACATCATCCAGGACCAGCAAGTTTTGGAGAAATGGAAGGAAACATCTGGAGCTCGCAAGTGACTGTTCAACATTCTTGCCAAGTGAGAATTCCAATAAAATTAGTGGCGAGAAAGTACCTCAATTGATACACAAAGAGCTTTCAAAACTACTCGGGAAGATGCATGTGCCTCATTGATGATCTGAGTAAACCAATTTATTAAAGTGAGCAGGATCTGTTCAGTAGTAATTAAATAGCTTTTTGTCATTTTATCTAAGCGGATACCTCTGTGAACCATTGTTATCGAGTTCAAGTTGTTTATCATTTTTTTTTTCCTTTCTTACCTAGTCCTGCGTGGTTTCTGCAACCTTCACCGTGATTCCAACTGCTCTTTCTCCTACCATCCAGCATACAAGCTACTCACCGTTCACCTCCTATTAAATGTTCAACATCCACCAACAGTATTTTCCACTAAAACCTTCAAACCCAGAGCCATGAATCCCCTTTCCCTTATTCCCAAACAATCGACAACAATAGCAAACAGCCATAAGCCATTCCCATTCTTATCTCCTAATACCTAACCTTCCAAGCCACCATTTTGCCCATTCTTAACACAAGTAATTTGTGCCGTTTTTTTATGGCAGTTAACCAAAAGTTAAACGAATATTAAATAAAGAAGGCATTTTAGTAACTAAAGTCTTTAATGCAAATCTAGCACGCAATAAAGAAACCATGCAACATACATGCAAAATGATGAAATCAATGCTGAAGAAAGATTCTTAGTTATCTATTAGAAATTTAGGATCATGAAAGCATGCACAAGCTTCAAATCTTATGCAAAAGAAATAAATATAGATGAAAAAAAATTACCAAAATTTAATCCAACTTACAGCAAATAATTAAAAAATGAATAGAATAATAATGTAAAAAAAGGTTGAAAAAGAAGTTACCGAATAAGCAAGGTCATGCTTGTACAATGAGATAACCTGTTAGACCGGTTCACAAGGAACCGGTCCAGAACTAGCTGGCCCAAGGGCCACTGGTCTATAGGAGGCGGAAACTTCATCCTCCTCTACCATTGGGCGGGCCCCACTATTCCAAACTAATTGAAAATTCAAACGGAGTGAGGAGACTAGGGTTTGGGAGGGAAATTAAATTAGGAATGATCTTGTATTAAAGGGGATGAGGGAATTAGGGAGATTCATGTTTTGATTGATTGGGAATTAGGGTTTCTTAGTGCTTGGGCTCTAGACTCTCTTGTCTAGAGATTTGGGAGAGACGATCCTCCTCTCGAATTGGGGATCACTTGTATCTTGCTTTCGTGTGTGTTTTGCTTTGTTTCGTTTATTGCAATCTATCATTTTGAGGCTGATTTTGCCCAGATTTTGCTTTATTCTCTCTGTTTTCTTCTAATTAGTGATAGGATTGCTTGCGAACTCAAGTATTCCCTTAGGGTTACTTGCGAACTCAAGTATTTCCTATCACAACCTCTCTTGAAATTTTCAATTATCCCACTTGATCAAGTAGTTTATTCCCAAATTGAGAAAGGATTTGTACATCCAAAGAACTTTTGTTTATTCATCATGTATTGGTTTTTTTAGGGCTGCAAATGAACCAAGTCGATCTAAATAGGTGTTTGTTGATATTTGAGTTTATTTAAGCTCGGATCAAGCTCGATTCGAGGTATTCTGTTCGTGTTCAAACTTGGTCAACAACAATAAAAACAACATCAAGACTTTATCCCACTACGTGGGGTCGGCTATATGAATCATTTTTCTCCATTGTGTCCTACTAAAAGTCAAATTCTCGTTTAAATATAATAAAGAAATGCACTTCTAATATTTTCTAACCAAGTCTTTTTAGG